TCCATTAAATGTGGCTTTTAGTGGTTTCTTCTCAGTCTTCAGGCAGGTTTGATACTAAACCGACTGCTACTCTTGTTGCTTAGAAGTCAGCTGCAGGTGTTGGAGTTTAAAAACTCTTCCTGCAGCTGCCTTAGTCACAGCCTGTATCTAAAGTAATTCTTCTTAAGCTTCCTTCTTTCAGAATTATAAGGCAGAAGAGAACATGGGAGCAACAGAGAACCATGTCTGTAGGAGGGCATTAGCTTCTCTTCTGTGTTCTCTCTGTTATTGGTGCTCGTGTTCTTTATTTCTGTGTCTGATTCTTTTGTGCTTCTTTGTTTTTTATTTCCTTTCTCTTCCTCCCACTTCTGGCCACCCTTCCCCCAGCCCCCAGGGTTATAGGAATTAGGAGCACTGAGGGTTGGAATAATTTTCCACTGATTTCCATAAATCAGTTCTCCACTGATTTATAAGCAAGTTGAGCAAGCCATGGTGCTCTTTTTACAACAGAGATTTTACTTTGATTTTATGAGCATTAATAGGAGGAAGTAAAAATCATTTTATAATATTCCAGAGTAGAAAGAGCCTACAATTCATCAGGACTCCCATTCTCCCATGAGCTTCATAATCACACACTCTAAGGGGCCTCTCCAAGGTTATATGACACAGTCTGCTCAAGAGCAGACTCTGAAACTGCCCATGTGGACTCACGTGACATCACTCCATCTCCTTGGGCCTCAGCGGTCCTGTGAGGGATGAGTTTAGCCCCTGGGGGACTCCAAAGAATGTTTGCTGGGTGTCTGCAGGGTGAGTCAGTTTTGTAGAATGGGGGTGGGTTACACCCTCCTCTCCCTTGTCCTCCTGCCCCTCTCTGGGCTCCCCTGCAGTGCCAGGTGAATGTGCTCAGCACATGGCGCTTTAGCAAGTGTAGATTCACAGAAAATACTGGTTAGGAAGTGAGGCAGACAAAGGGTGGAACTGCCCAAAGATGGGCTGCTCTCTGGCGCTACAGTGTCGCCACTTGTCTCCTGGATCTCAGGCTGAGAAAGGCTTCATCTCACCTTCAGAGAACCCTCAACCCTCACAGCAGCTATCTGCTGAGCCAGCTCACAGGGAGGAAACCTCACTCATCTCACCAGCCAGCCGGAACCAGATTGGATTCCTTTTGCTGACAGTTGCTGTCTTTCTCTCTCCCCTTCCCAGCTGTCCTCAATTCCTTCCCCTACCTTCTTCTCTTCCTCTTCCTGTCCTTCCTCCCTTCCTTTCAACCTTCCTTTTCAACTAGGTCACAGCATTCTTTTCCAAACACCACTTTACATGTGGTGGCCAAGAGTTTGGGGTATTGGATAATGTACCCAGTTGATGTCTATCAAATAAGTGCTCCAGAATGTTCTATGAAGAAAGACTCTGGAGCTAAATAACTGGATCCCCAAACAGCTTTGGGAAATGGTGAGCCCCAGTTTTCCATAAGAAAGTCCTAAGAACTTTGGACTGCTCTGAAAAGGGAGAAGTGCTTGCAAATGTTTCTTTTTAAGCTCCTCAAACTTTTCATAAGAAACCCTCCTTCTGAATAGCCGCCCCTCACGTGCAGTGGAAGCAGTTTCTGTAGAACCCACTGTTAGAAGCAGCAGACTTGATATTCTCGAGGCTGGTCCCAGCTCTAGAGCTCTGGGACAGAGCTCTGATTTACTGACAGTTCCCTTGAGAGGCACCTGGACCTAGCATGGAGGGAATGAAGTGCCAGACAAGCAACTTTCAGTGGAGGAGGCTGGGAGGAGGCACTTCTGGTGGTGACAAATTCTTGATGGCTCCAAGTCTCTGGGAAGCTGAGCCTTGCGGATGGGTGGATGAAGGATGAGGGAGGCAGTGGGCACTGACAAACAATGCTTAACTGATCTATTTGCTTGTGGCCCTGGCTATAGCAGCAATGATTTTCAAAAGTATTATCCAGTAGGTCTCACTCATTGAAAAATTTGTTCTGAGATTAACAAGCAGGATGAAGAGGACCAAGCAAGTCAATTCTGTGGTACAGACGTGCTCTGCCATCTGCTTCCCTCTCCCATTACTGAAAGAAAAATCTTTAGCAGTCTGTGCGGTGGAATAGGAAAGCCGTATAATCAAGATTAGCTTTGAGTTCACACCTCTATAATAAATGAAGGCTCTGTGGGTGAGAATTCATGCAACACTTCTAATTAAGATAACTGCAGGGGAATGGAAAGGACCCCTTAATAAGTGACACCCTTCTCTTCCCCTCCTGGAGAAAATGAGGTGCAGCCACTAATTGGTGTAATTAGCACTGAAAGTTAAAAGATTTCCTCCTTTCTCTCCTTTTTTTTTAGTGTTCAAACACCTGGGCTCTTTATTTTTGATTACTAGGCTACCCCTTCTTCCTTTTATGAAAGTTCAAGTTGCTTTGGGGTCTTGCTTGAGCCTCATTTTCAGATGGAAATTGGGAACCTGAATCCTTTGGGCTGCACTTATTAAGGGGTCCTTTCCATTCCCCTGCAGTTATCTGCTCCTGGCTGATGCTAGGAATCAAGAATTAATCTCTTGCTCTTTAAAAACCCTTGCTAGGATAGATTTGAATGTGCTTTCAGGAAATTCTCTCATCTTTATTATAAAAGAAATCAACCCAAAACAGAACGGAAGGATAAGGATTATGTTGCTATGGAAATGATTGCATGAAAATTTTATTTCCTACTACACCTATTGAAGGAGAAAAGAAAATATCCTCCCAAGTAGAAATTAAGAGGAAACAAAAAACTTAGAATGTAATTAACAATAATTGAAAAAAAATAATCACCCCAAGGGATTCTCCAAGAAGGCTGATCTCCCTGACACAAATGGCTCTATCCTCTTCTTGCTGCTGCTCTGTGATGCAGGAGAGTGTGGAGGAAAACCTAGGAGCCCCGGGAAGCTCTGGCTGGAGCTCCCTGAGCAGGGTGAGGAGACACTTTGTGATCCATGTAGAAACCATCTGCTGGTGTTGGGGATGGTCCTCTAAGGGGATTTACAGGCCAGGTTAATTTAAAGTTCAAAAGCTGAAACAAGCGTTTCTGAACACTCCCATCTCCAGCAGGTTTGGGAGTGAATCCTTCCAAAGGTGTTCTGTTAAAATTTGAGGGCATGTAGGCAGGTGTTGTGGTGGGCACCTACTCTGGAGGCTGAGGCAAGAGGATCACTTGAGGCCAAGAGTTTGAGGTTGCTGTGAGCTATGATGCCACAGCACTCTACCCAGAGTGACAGAGTGAGACTCTGTCTCAAAAAATTAAAATAAAAAAAAATAGAGGGCATGGATCACATGACGCTTTAATGGACAGATCCTTTACATATCATCAAAAAGCAATTGGCTCTAGAATGTTTTATTTCTTCAAATCTTATTCTGATTATAGATCTCCTTAAATATAATAATGGGTAAGTCTGGGTAAAATTTTTGTTTCCCTAATGACCCGTGCTACTTTTTAACTGATAGTATAATTTCACTTGCATCTGTATCTGGGGGAAGCATTAAGTAATGAGGTTAACAGTGAGAAAGCTCTCTCTACCTTAGACCAGCTGCAAACCTTGGCTGCACAATACAGTCACCCAGGCAGCTCTGAAAAATGCCAGGCCATACTCCCAGACCAGTTAAAATCAATCTAGTAGACAGGATCTAGGCATCAGTATTTTTAAAAGCTCCACAGGGGATTCCAGTGTGAGGACTTGGGAGCCATTGATCTAAGTGGAAATACACATACTCTGTAGGACTGGTAGACCTGGATAGCGAACGTCACTAAAAAACCATCCCCCTGCCCAACCCCCTCCTCCTCAGGTCTTCCTAGGGCTCTAAGAGTCCCAGTGGGGCTAAAAGCTCAGGGGCTTTCTGCCTTCTTCCCAGTGGTGTGCAGATAAATGTTTGGCAACCCACTCCCTGGAATTAAACAGAGGCCTGGTTAGTGGCACATGTGGATTTTCAGAGTCTGTAAATACCCCCACCATGGTCAATTTCACCTACTAAGGCACTATCTCTGAGCTTAGAGTTGGGAGGGTCTGTGCACAACCAGCTGGGGAGACCAAGGCTTCCTTCCCAGCTCCAATTTTTTTCACCCTGTCCTCTGTACCTGCCCCCAAGGAGCTCATTCTCCCTTAGGGAGCATTTAGGGTTTTGAACCACCTAGATAAATACTTCCCCTTTGTTTGATGTGCTGGCTTATCCTGCTCAGGTAAGATCATGCCTCCTCCTGGTTAAAGTGACCTCTGGAAAATACCAAGGGAATGTTTCTAAGACTGGGGATATTTGGGCAATTGACATTCTGGGTTATATTTTATCCTTGTGAACCTAAAGTGAGTTGTCCTAGAGACAGCTCTGGGTACCTGAGCCAACATATAAGGTTCTAAGCCTCCAGAGCTGAGACCCAGGCTGTGAATCAGAATAAACTCACCAAGGCAATACAGGAGTTTCATGGGAGCCCACCTGCCAGCCTTTGCAGGTTGATTAACTCTACCTAGCCACAGGCTGTGTGCCACGACATCTCTTTCCCCCTCACGACAAAGCATTTTGACTTGACTTTCTTGCTGAATTGCTGCCATATATATATGAAGACCAAGCAGATACTGTCTTCCAGGTGCCTAGGTAGTGGAGTGACGCACCCTAGGTAGTGGAGTGACGCACCCAATTTGCCCAAGCTTATGGGTGAGGAAGAAAGGCTTGAAGCCAGAGTTCCTGATTCCAGCTACATACGTGCACACACACACACAAACACATAGCCAGCCTTGGTCTATCGGCCAGCTGCACCCATGCATGGGGCCAGTCAACTTAGGCAAAGGAGGAAGTGAGATGAAAAGTAACAGATTTCTTGCTTTTCAATCTTGTGAACTAATTCTTTGCCAGTCCTGCTTTGGAAAGCACGTTTTCTGACATGAACCATGGGTTTTGTGGTCTAACAAAGAACACATTCCACCTTGATAAATGTGAAGTTGGGGGTGTAATGTGAACGGCTCATGCAATGCAAATGGCTGATGAGTTGCGATTCCAAACACAGAGTCAGAAGCAACCTCTGTCGAGATCATGTTAAATCCAGAAGACACCTGGGACTCTGAGAAGTGGCTGCAGAAATACGGTTTGAAGGCCCAGAAGCTGTCGTTGTATGATATCCTCGCAGAATGCTCCTTCCGCCACGCTGATGGAGTCGTGGATATAAAAGCCAAACCAGAGGATGAGTCTGTGCAGACCAATGCGGTACGTGAACTGAACTCCTGGGAGGGGCTGTGGCCTCGCCTTGGGCCCTGGTGTGTGAGGCCTCCCTCAAATCAGAAGCCAAGGGCAGGACCACGGTGGGGAGGCAGCAGGTCAAACTTTGTGGAAGGAAGGGGTCTCTTCTGCTTCCCACCTTTCCCTTCTCCAAAGGGCACCTGTAGGAGTGGAGATAAAAGCTGGGAATTATTTCTAGACATAAGTGAATTATACATGAGCAAGGGTCTGGGCTGGTAGAAATCAGGCATTTTTAGTCTCAGAATTATTTGACATTGTACAAACAGAGTGGCTTTTGTTCCTCCATATTGGATGGAAGCTATGGCTAAAGCAGGCATTTCTGTGGTCCTCTTGTATTTCCACTGCCTTGAAGACGAACTATTCCATGGCTACCGGCCCCCATATAGGGGAATTACAGTAATTATAAAATAAGATTCTTTAACGGGTTGAGACCCTGGATGGTTGTCTAGCAAATACTTTGAAAACTCTATTTCCAAATGCCAAAAAAGCTTCTCATAGTGCCTATCTCTGGCTCCTGATGAGAGGAGAATGCTCTATAGCAGTGGTCCCTAAACTCTAACGTCCTGAATCTGAGTTTGCATCTGAGTTTGCATCCTTCGTAACAATTCCCAGGCAGTGCTGAAGCTGCTGCTCCGGGGGCCACACTTTGAGAAACAGCAAAATGAGGGCCAGGAACTAGAAGGCTTAGTGTCAAAAGTTCAGACGTGTAGAAAAGGCTAGGTAATGCCATATGTGAAACAGAAAATTAGAGTCAAATGAATATTGCCGATTCATAAAAACAAAGGAAAGCTTTTTAGGAGCTGATAAGTCTCAGTTTCTTAGTGAAAGCTACAATGCAAACTGCAGGCCTGTAAGTAACTGAGACACCTGGGAGAGGAATTCAAGGCCCTCCTCAAATCCGAGGTCTCCTTATGTGTTCTTAAAAGCTCCGATCCAAGCACAAGATCATTACTGAGATGTTTGGCAGTGGTGGGACTCCAGACCCTTGACACTTGTTGTCAGGCTCCCTTGGGGCCGCCTCAGCCACCCCATGCTGTGTTGTTGCCCTGCTGTTCCTGGCATGTTTACAATAAACTGCAAGAAGGAAAATATAAAAATTGAGTTAGAACAAGGCAGAATTGATGCAAGACTTGTTTCCTGGCTTATCCTGGGATGCAGAGTAATTGCTCTAGTGCAGGGAAAATCTCATTTGTGGGTTTCCTCCTCCAGCACACGTTTCTGATTTTGTAGACATTATCCAGTAACGTTCAGGAAATCATACTTAACTAAATTTTCATTTTAAAAATACATTAGACTCTGGATATTTAAAAATATAAATCCCTGTCAACTTGAACATAGCTTACTGTGAGCTCATGACAATGTGCTATGCTCCGTCGAGCTCTAACCCTGATTTCTCCTTACTCTTTATTGGCAATTTTTAATCAATTTTACGGGGCCAGTCTGAAAATTTTAGCTCATAAAATGGGAATTTTACATTAAATTTCTTGCACTAACCAGTAATGAAATGGTAAAGGATGAGCATTATATTGTACAGTGATCCTCTTACACAAATATTGAGGAAAAAGGGACAATTTTATTTTTAGTATTTCAGACTACATATCCAAAACTGGATTCCTAGCTAAAATTGTGATGTGTATAAAGAAGGGAGAAACTGAAGCTGTGAATTAAGTAGATTATTTAGGGTCCCCTCAGACTCCCATTGAGCAAGATCCTCTAAGCTTTTGACTATAAAATCTATTTATAGGTACAGATCCAGAACACTCATTTACAAGAAATAAATAATGAAAAGGCCTTGCTATGTAGTGATTCAAAGAAGAATGAATGGGAGGAGACAAAAATGCGTTTCTAATTAGGAGACTTTAGTCCAAGTCCAGTAACTTGGCATTTGGGCACACCTGAAATCACATGGCATGCACGGTGGCTTACTGCTTAGGCAAAGCCCTGATGTCCCCAAACCCATTCTTATCTCATCACTTATTCCTCTAACAAATCCTGAGCTTCTGCTATGCACCAGGGAGTGCGTTGTGGTGGAGGGTACACTGGATCTGGGTGTAAACGTTACTTCTACCAGTTATGAAACATTAAACAAATAATCTCACCTCTTAGATCAGTGGTTCTCAACCTTCCTAATGCTGCGGCCCTTTAATACAGTTCCTGTGGGTTGTGACCCACAGGCTGAGAACTGCTGTCTGTCTTAGCATCTCACCCTCCAAATCTGTAAAATGGGTGGTGTGAAGTGCAGATTTAAAAATGCATGTTTGAGCACAGTACCTGGGACAGAGGGAGTCCCCATAGATGTTACCTTCCTTCTTTTCTGTGTTATAAACATTGTGAGTCAGAAAGGAGCATTTCCTGAATATCTTCATGCTTTATGTACAAGATGAGCATTTGCACTCTTCTTTTACAAAAGGGAAAACAGAGTCATAGGACCTCGGAGAGCTTAGGTAACTCTCTTGTGATTGATCTCAGCAGGAACAGACAGTACTTGAATTCAGGTGTACCAGGCTCTCACACTGTACTTTTCCCACTGTGACACATCACCCCCGACACAAAGCCTGCCTTTCTGTAGCTTGTGGCCTGGTGTTTTTCCATTTGGCTGTGCTTAAGATACATGCAAGAAATGCTGTGTGATGAGAGTGGGAGTGGGGAGAAACATTTTGGTAACCCCCTAAGGAACATGGTGTGAATGAGAGAGAAGACACCTTTCTCCTCCTGTCCTCACCCTGCTGTAGAGGTGCACCCTTCTCCACCTGCCTTGGGTGCATAGGACGGATCTTATCAGGCCTTCTGACCCCCTTCTCATCAATCACCACCAGACTCCTGAATTCACATCCCCATGTGGTTCTGAGCATCTCTTCTCTGACCCTCCTCCACTCCTCCCTGACTCCTAAAAATCCCTCTTCCTTGCCCTCTGGAACTTGAAGTCATCAGCAAACCCCCAGTGGCCTCCAGTCCTCTGTGCTCCCTCTGCCTGCCTGTCTGGATTCCCTGCGTCTCCACAGCCCTGTGGAATGGGGGCTGGTTCTCTCCCTTTCCCTTTGGACCTGTGGGCCCAGGGGTGGGAGGTGACCTCCTTGCTGCTTCTCCACCTTGCCCCTCTCTCCTCCCAGGCCAGCAGACTAATCTCCCTACCGTGCCCAAGCTCAGCCTTGTCAGTCCTTAAAGATGACAGCTTCACTCTTTAATCACCGGCTCCAACCTGTTTTAATTCTTGCATATTTCAACCCCTACAGATGACCCTCACAATTCCCCGACCTTTCATTTCTTTAACCTTCTTTTCTTCTTCACCCATCGCTGCCTTTCCTGCCTGAGACATACTCTCACCTTGTCATTACAATAATCATGTAATCATAATCCCAACCCCAGGCCCCAGCGTTCCCCTCTATGATCACTTATTGTGGGTCCTCTATTGCCCTGTCTTAGAGTCAGTCTGTCCCCCACCCTGGGATATGCACGTTACTTACTGTTCTACCACCTTTGCTCTGCCCTGTCCATCCATTTGTCCCTCCCATGCATCCTTGACCAGTTTACACTACTGCACACATCTGGAAAAACTGGTTTCTGCCCTTTCTGGCTTATACCCGTGCAGTTGACTGCACTGGTAGAAGCTAGAGGAAACACGTAGTCCTGAGGCCAGGTTTCACTTAACTCATGCTGCTGACCTCAGTGGGTTCTTTGTGCTGCCCAGCAATCCTCCCAGCCTCTCGTTCTCTGAGATGTCTGCCTTCAGCCTTCCGGAACCGAAACATCCAGCAGATGAGCTTGCCTGCCACGTCACGGGACGCAGAGGTGAATGTCATAAACATCTGCCTCCACGCCAGACCCCAGCGTCTGCAGGGTGCACTTGACATTTATCTCCCCAGTCCTCAGGCTGCCCTGTTCTCACCACTCTCAGGACGCTCCCTCCATGTGCACACCAATCTCTCTTCCCTCATTCATTCATTCTTCTTTTCCTACCTCATATCCTCAATAGTGCCCTAGCTTCTAGATCTTTCTGGTCAGCATACAAACATTTTGCAATGTCTCTCATCTTAAAAATGGCTTTTTGACTCCCACAAGTGCCTCTGGCTCTACCTCACTTTCCTTTTTGGAGTTGGATTCCTCAGAATTTCTCAATTCTCCTCTCTTGCTCTTTTGAAGCTACTCCAGTGAGGCAAAGACCCTCCCCCATCAAGCCCACTCTTACCAAGTCAAGGGGTCAGTTCTCAGTCTCTTTCTTCCTTGCCCCATTGTCCACATTTGCTGTGGTTCCACTTCCTTGAAATTCTTTTGTCTGCAGAATGTACGCTGTCCTAGTTTTCCTCCTACCTCACAGACTGCTCTTGGCCAGTCATCGTTGTCCCTCCTTTCCCACGTCCCCACCCTCCTCATGCTGGAGGGCCTCATGGTGCAGTCCTCCTCGGGCCTCTTCCCTGTCCACACTCATTCCCTGGTCACCTTGTCGGGTCCTGTGGTTGTTAATCCCAAGCGCCTGTGGTGACTTCCAGACCTGTATCTCCAGACCAGAGTGCTGCCTGATCTCCACCTGACGACGTGCCATGTCACCTGGATGTCTAATAGGCATCTCAGACCTAACTGACACTCAGTCTTGATCTTCCCCCCTAGCTCTGTCCCACTATCTTCCTCCTAGAAATTTATTGCATCTCCATTCTTTCACATCCTCAGGACTGAAGATCTCAGAGTCACTCCTGACTCCTCTCTTTCCCCTCATACATCTGATCTCTCCTTAAATTCTGTCAGTTCTGTCTTCAGAATGTCGGTCGGCACCTGACCTTACACCTTTTCACCCTACCAGACCTCCTGACTCCCTGCTTCTGCCCGTGATCCCCAGCAGTCCCTTCTGAGATGTGTTAGATGTGTCACTATATGTCAGTGCTCTCATTAAAGGCCTGAGAGGCTTCCTTTCTCACTCGGGGCAAAAGCCAGAGCCATTCCCATCAGTGGTCAGGATTTTCAGGATTGGCTCCCAGCCCTCCTCCTGGTATTTCCAGCCTCAATTCTCTCTTCTGTAACCCACTGTCTATGAATCAGTACTGATCTTCCCCAAATCAGTGTGCCAGGCGAACTCTGCTCACGGTGTCTGCACTTGCTGTACCCTCTGACTTCCTCCAGACCTTCCTATGGCCACGCTCTTTGTTCTCTCCGGCCTTTGCCAATATTTCACCTTCTCTGTGAGACTTTCTCCATTAGGATTTAACTTGGTCCTGTGCCTGGCTTCCCTTTTTCAGTATTCTCTATTCTCCTTCCTTATTTTTCTCCGTAGCATTTGTCATCATCTGACCTTCAATATCGTGCTTTGTTTATTGTCTGGCTCTTCTCTGTAATATGAGCTCTGTGAAGGCAGGAATTTTGGACTTTGTATCCGTTGTATTCCTGGTGCCTAGAAGAGCTGCTGGCACCAGTACAGGGTGAATACCTGTGGCCCAGTGAGGGAGGGAGACCTGATGAGAGCTCGCTGTCCTGGAGGGGGCCTTTGTCCTTGCACAAGTTCTGTGTGTCCAGGAGAGGGGGCTAGATGTGAGCTGGGGAGCTTGGCTGTTTGGCTTCATGGAAAGTAGGTTTGAGGAGAGTCTTAAGTCTCACCTTCCCAGAATGGTCTCCCTGGCCCTTCGGTTCACTGTGAGCTCTTCCTTCTCTGCCAGGACTTGCCCAGTCTTTATTGCCTCGACCCAGCATGAAGTACTGAGTATTTAATTCTCAGCATTCCTAATTTTCTCTCTTTCTTTGTGTGTGTCAGGGGGAAGGAGTCTCCCTGCCGGAAGCATTAGCTTTTCTGGGGCACAGATGTGCTCACTCACGTCTTTCTGACTATTGTTCTTGACATCTAGCACCGGGCCCCCTGTAGAGCGGGCCCCAGACCATGTTTGGCTGAACTGACGATTGAATGATTTACAGTGGGGGTGAGTGCTAAGAGCTGTGTCCCTGGGCAGAAGCAGAGGTGCCCTTCTTTGTGTGGTTTCTGAATGGCTTCTGTCCTTGTCCCTTCCTTAGGAGACCATTAAGAAGACAGTCCATGCAAAATACTGCAGCAGGTTTGTCCACGCTCCCTGGAAGGATGGGAGCTTGGTCCACGTCAACATCACCAAGGAGAAGTGCAAGCTGTTCTGTGAGAGGATTCACGCCGTCCTGGCCCAGATCCAGCAGAGGTCAGTGTGTTTGCAGGAGCGTACTCACCTCCTAACTAGACTTAGTCCAGTCTCTCTTGAAATTCAAATCTGCTCCATCTCTTTCTCTCCCTTCTTTAGTTTTAGTTCCCCTAAAAATTGTACTTATTTATGGAGTATAGAGCAATGGTTTGATATCTGTATACAATATATAATGATCAAATGAGGGTAATTAGCACATCCATCACCTCAAACATCTATCATTTCTTTGTGTTGTGAAATCCTCTCTTGTAGATTTTGAAAATATACAATAAATTACATAAAGCCATATTCATGCTACAGTGCTGCAGGACACCAGAACTCATTCCCCCATGACCCAGCGTCCCCACATCAGCCCCTCCCTCCTACTGTTCCCAGCCTCTACTACCTGCAATTGTACTCTCTACTTCCACAGCTCAAAAGTTTTTTTAGTTCCCACATATGAGTAAGAACAGGTAGCATTTGTCTTGTTTAACTTAGCGTAATATCCTCCAGGCTCATTCACGTTGCAGTGAATGACAGGATTTCATTCTTTTTTATGGGTGAATAGTATTCTATTGTATGCAGACCAGTATGAGCTCAACCAAGAGAAATGGCCAACGAGCTTCATTAAGTCAAGGTTGCCATCGGATGACTAGCTGGTAGTCACTGATAGTCTTGTTAACAACAAAGGAGGATGCATGGATTCGGATTCCAAGCTGCCTTGGTGCCAGTGCAGATTCTTAAAAATAGCCAAGAAGGGTATACTTATTGCTAGGAGTGACTACACACTCCTAGTAGGAGGCTGAAGAATGTTCTGCTCATGCCTTACATCTTGTGTGGACTACAGTTATATTGCAGAAAGATACCATACCTGTCCTCTGTCCAAGGCATCTGTTCTAATGTGGTGAAATATTTGAATACAAAGGAATAATGCACATATTTTAGAAATCAGCTTAAAATAATGTCATGGGATCCCGCTCAAGCCTGCAGGGCCCTCAGAATCTGGAAATGCTCTAGAATATGCTGGGCTAATGCCGTGACCTCAGGTTGGACCCCATGGGGACAGTTTGCTTTAATGTTTGCACCTCCCAGGTGCCAGGGGGCAGGTTTAGACCACAGGACCAAAGTCATTTAGATGCGTGGGTTCTGATGCCAGACAGAGCTGGATTCTAATCCTAGCTCTCTGCCGCTTGCTGTGTGACCCGTGGCAAGTTAGTTAATGCCTTTGTGCATCTGTTTCCTCATGTATAAAGTGGTCATGGTAATGTCATGTAAAAATCTGTTCTGTGGATTAGTAGATACTAAATCTAATGAGCTTAAGTTAGTACTAGTCTGTAACAGTTATTTGAAAATGAGAGCTCTTTTCCGTGCCTGGTTTATCCTATTTAATGTAATGTCCTCCAAGTTCATCCACGTTGCCAGAAATGACAGGATTTCTTTCTGTTTTATGGCTGAATAGCATTCATATATATTCTGTATATGAGTACTATATATAGTATATATACGAATACTGTATATATCTCACATTTTCTTTATCCATTTTATTATTAGATGGGCATTTAGGTTGGTTCTATATTTTTGCTATTGTGAATAGCACTGCATAAACATAAGTGTGCAGATAGATATCTCTTTGACATACTGATTTCCTTTTTTCCTTTTTTTTTTTTTTTAATACAAACCCAGTAATGGGATTGCTGGATCATATAATAGTTCTGGAATCTTTCTTTTCCAACAGGTCTGACTGGTGATTATCCATTTTAGTGGTCTTCTCAAAGAACCAACGTTTGCTTTCTTTTTTTTATCTCTATAGGATTTTCTGCTCTGTATGTCATTGATTTCTACTCTTATTATTATTATTCCCTTCTTTCTCCTGACTTTGGGTTTAAGTTTCTTAAGATGGATGCTTTAATCACTGATTTGAGACACTTTCTTTATAATGCAAGCATTTAATTCTATAAATTTCCCTCTGACTTCTTTAGCTGCCTCTCCCAAATTTCGATATGCTATATTTACTTTTCAATCACTTTAGAATATTTTCTAGTTTCACCTGTTATGTTTTCTTTGACCAAAGGGTTACTTAGAAATGTGTTGTTTACTTCCCAGATATTTATAGATTTTCCTGATTAGTTTCTGTTATTGATTTCTATTTTAATTTCACCGTGAGTAGAGAAAGACTGTATGATTTGAATTCTTATAAAACTATCGGAACATGTCTTGTGGCCTAGAATGTGAAAAAAAAAAAAAAAACAAACCCTGCTTTTGTTGGATGGAGTGTTATATAACTATCAGTTAGCTTAAGTTGGTTGATAGCATTGTTCAAGTCTTCCATGTTATTACTTATTTTCTCTTTAATTATTCTAGAAACCATTGAGAAAGAGCATTGTTAATCTCCAAGTGTAGTTATTTCAACTATAGCCTTCAATTCTCCTGTCAGTTCTGTTGTTTCTTTGTATATTTTGGTACTCTTTTAGTAGGTGCATGTATGTTCAGAAGTGTTCTCTTGATGAATGGGTTCTTTTACAATTACAAAAC